CAGATTACCCGACAACCCACCTCCAAAATCCGGTCCAATAGGCATTGAAGTCGCCATGGTCAAGCTACCAAATCCATTACTCCCAACTCCCAGTTCCAGACTTGAGCTCGGCAATGGAGGTGCAATGGAGTTTGCCAGTGACAAAATTGGTCTGCCGAGAAACTTCCCAGCAAGTGCACAAACCCGGTCCAACTCATCCTTCAACCGAGCATTATCAATCCTTAACTGCTGCTCTTCCAGCGAGATTTCTCCGATAATCGCCGGACCGCCGCAATTCGAACAGATTGGATTCCTCATAGCATCTCGAATCGACATATTCTCAGCTCTAAGCTTATCATTCTCCTGTCTAAGCAAAGTATTCTCATGGCGTTCCAACTGGGTCTGATCCAAACATCAAAAACAACACATCATCCATATCGAAAGCCACAAAAAATGAACAAAAAGAATGGTGCAGTGCAGCTATTACCTTCATTTGGGTCCTCCGGTTTTGGAACCAAAATTTAACTTGTCTAGTTTCTAAACACAGCCTCCTACTCAACTCGAGGCGTTGTTTCTCATCAGGATGAGGGCACTCTTTAAAAACACTAACAAACCCAAAACGAAGATGTTAAAAAATGGATTGATGAAGAAAGGAGAGGGAATGAAAAAGCAATCGTACGCTTCGAGCTCTTGGATTTGCTGAGGAGTGTGTCGGTGGTAACGCTTCTTCCTCGGAGGATTGTCGGCAGCGTCCTGGTCATCGCCGGAGCCGCCGTCCATGTTGTCACTCCCAGATCTACTCTCGTGCTCTTCCTCTCTGCCTCTTCTTCCAACATTATGCTCGAAACCCTCGGGCAATCGGGCAGCTAAATCTCCCTGCCCGCCATCCATGTTCGTCTGAGGATTTTCAAACCCATTAGAAATCGCCACAAAAACACAAAAGATGAATCGAGCGAAAAACGAAGAAAAGAGAGGGAAATAAGTACAAGAGCAAGAGACAGTCCAGGGGAGTTGAACATCGATTTGGTGAGGGATTGAGTGATGAGGCGCGGGGGAGCGATTGCGCCGGAGGATATATTTCCGCCACCGCCGATGCCTCCGGTGGGGTTATTGTTGGTGGTGGAGTTAATTGTGTAAGGTAAATCCGCTACGAATCGAGCACCAGCACCTCCGCCGCCGCCGCCGTCGAGGAAACCCCCAAAACTCATCGGCCAAAGCTTCTATAACTTCCTCTTTTATTTATTTCTTCCACTCGCTACTGTTTTTGGGGTGCTTACAGAATCAACGAAGAACTTAGCCCAATGCTAGAGAAATGAATGAAATGAAGGCTTTCCACAGAAACCCAGAAGAAATAACAGACCCACAAAACCCACAAAACCAAAAAGCAATAAGAAGAAGAGAGAGAGAGTGAGATGGAAAAACCCCTTCTGCTATTGCTCTCTCTCTCTCTCTCTCTCTCTCTCTCTCTCTCTCTCTCTCTCTTCAAAAAAGAAGAAGCTGAAGAACCCTAGTTAATGGGGGCTACTCGAGCCTCGCTGCATGTTTAAAAAAAAAAAAAAGAAGAAGAAGAAGAAGAACCCCTTTCAAGGCAGCAGAAAACTTGGAGAATCGAAAAAAGAAAAAAGAAAAGAGAGAGAGAGAGAGAGAGAAAGAGAAATGGAAGAATGGACGTTTTGTATTGTTATTTTAAAGATTTGTGCAGAGAGAAGAAGGGGAGAGAGAGAGAGAGAGAGAGAGAGAGAGAGAGAGAGAGGATAAAACGCAATATGTGGAGTATTGGAAGCCTTAGAAATACGGAGGTACAACAAAAGGGTAAAAGGGGGTGCGGTTGACTCTCAATCGCCCTTTCCCAAACCCTCTGAAAATGGCATCATACACTTACAGTTACAGTGGTGAAGAAGAAGAAGAAGAGGAAGAGGAAGAAGAAGAAGAAGAAGAAGAGGAAGAGGAAGAAGAAGAAGAAGAAGAAGAAGCTTAAATAAATAACCTATTCCCTTGTATGGGTCTCTGACTTTGGGAACTCCAAATTTTTGTACCAATCTCTTCCCTAAATTATGCAACTCTTTCACAAATTTTGGAATTCAATATATACTCAATTTCATTTTTTAGAATTATTATAATTTAACCTATTCTTTTAAAATGTTTTGATAATATATTACAAACCTTCATACATGCCATTATCAGTTATTAATGAATTTGTGAGTGTGTAATATCATATTTTAGTTTTTGATTATGATTATTTTTAAAAAATTAATTCCTAAACCACGAGAGAGAGAGAGATAGAAAAAAAAAATAAATAAATAAAAGACCGAGATTGAATAATAGGATGATGGGATATTTTTCACAAAAATGACATTATTTAACAAATTGACAAAGTTTTTATAAATGCTAAAGAACTTATTAAACCAAATCTTGGGTGAACCCTAAGGCCTTTGTGTTAGAGACAGGACCACAAAAATTAGGTAGAAGGGGGAAGGAGGTGAGTTATGGTGGCCTTTTATGAGTCATACAAAATGTTGTTTTCTTTGGCTTGCTTCTCACTTTAGTCTATGCATAGAGAGAGTATAGGGCCTTTGGTAACCTTGTGCATTCATTCATGCCTTTCCCCAATTCCCCATTCTCTCTCTCCTATTAATTTTTTGCACCCTTCTTCCTTTCCCCTTTCATTTTTTTTTTTCTTTTTCATTTAGTGTTTTTGTTTTGCAATGCAAGCATACTCAATCCTGCTTCCAAGGGGTAGTTTCGTCATTTCTTAAGAGTATCGAAGGTTAGTTGACTCGTCGGTTTAGCAATTCTAAATTTATTAGTCGTGAGTTTGGAGTTTGGATTATTATAAGTCTCAATAATAAGTAATTTTAAGAACCAAATAGAAAACAAAAAGAGAGAGAGAGAGAGGTGAAAGTAGGCACATACATGGTTATGAAGCTAAGTGTGAGTAATAAATGGCACTATAAATATTTGTTTAATTTGGGGCAATTAATTTAAATATAATCTTTTCCACTTTAAGAAAAAAGGAAGTGTTGCTTTAATATACCTCATTATGAGGTAATTAAATTCTTTTTTTTTTTTTTTTTTTACTATCATTTACCACCCCCATACTATTTACTTCAAATTCTTCTCATTATATTTCTTGTCTCAACCATATGGACTAAACTAAAATTAAAGTCCAAGTATAACTTAAATGAATTATTAGGCTTTAAAACTAAATTTATAATATAACTTAAATGAATTATTATATGCATAAAAATAGCAACTTAAAAATAATTACAAACGTAGTAAAACAAAAATCTCCCACTTTCAAATTTTTTTAATCTAAAAAATGTAACGTTTATTACCATTACAGTTCCATCAATATGTAATTAAATCAAAGACTTGGAAAGTTTATAGAGTAGTTAGTTGGTTAGTGATTATATAAATTAATGACTATCACATGAAAATACAAATATTTATAGATCAAGATGACCAAAGGTAACAAAACATCAATATTCTAGCAATTTAGTCTAAAATCTATTAAATATGAGATAAAATGTACGAAGAAATGATATAATGGTTATTGTCGGGTATCCCACACCTTGAATGATGCAGAAAGGAAGTTGAGTGGGCGAAGGTAGCGTCAAAAATTGGAACTTCATCACAAACTCAATAATGCACATCCAAAGCATATACAAATTTTAAGGTCTATTATTATTCTTCTCTCTTTTACACAAAATAATGGTTATAGAGAGATGTAAATGGAAATGTGAAACAGAGGCACATGGTGAATGAGATCATTTATTCCAATGTTTTTGTCTAATACTTTGGCTCCATCATTTATTCTAAAAAAGAAAAATAAATGTTAATATGAACCTAACTCAATTGATCAAGAGAAAAACTCGGTTCTACTAATCCCATTAAACTGATGCCATGTCATTGCCTTTTAAGAAGGCTTGAAAATGAAGGAAGGAGGGGAAAAGAGAGGTGTGGGTTGGCAATGGCGTGACTTTCATTAAAACATAAAACCCTTTTCAATCTATAAGTCGGGCAGCGCTTGTGAAATCAAATGTGGGATATCATATCATTCCCCCCAAAATACAAATACAAAAATATATGATTAGTGAGAAAAATATTTATTAAAGGATGGGGGTAAGGAAGTTATAATTAAATGAAGGGGGGGGGGGG